TATCCCCTATGCCATGTGCTTTCTAAACATAAAATATAGGAACTCAAAATCTTATGAAAGTGAATGTTGAAAACTAAAAGTAAATAAGTAAATTTAAAAAAAAACAAAAGATGGTTAAAGGGATAGGGACTAAATCCTTAACTTTATTAATATAAAGATCTATAGAATATGGGCATTCCTCCATATGAAGGTTGATACCATAATTTATAATACAAAGTAATTTCTCTCAGGGTGGGTGGGTGAATAGTTATTGAAAAGAGCAAGGAAAGCCTTCTTGCAGGAGGTGGCACTTAAGCTGAGCTTTAAAGAGAGTTAGAGATTCTTAGATGGGAAAGCAATGACAATACACTCTTCAAGGACATGCAAAGGTATGGAAGGAGATGGAGAGTCCTGTAGAGAGAACGGCTATCTATCAATTTGGATGGAATGTGTAATAGAACACATGAAGGGGAGCAAAGTATGATGTATATGGAAAAGTTGGCTAGATTTAAAGGGCTTTAAATGCCAAACAGACTAGTGGCCTCTAGCAGAACATGCAAACTCCTCTGGAAAGTTTACGGGAAGATGGATTCTGCTACATTGCATAAGAACCCTGATGGATAATCACCTCCTTTATTGAGCTTTCCCTAATCACTCTTGTCAGGAAAGCCCTTTTCTCTTGGATTGGCAATAATCCTTAGGATGATAGGACCTTGTAGATCTCTAATGTGTCTCTGAGTATTTAGCTTCTTACTGGTCTAAGCAACTCTCTAATATTACCACTAGTAATGAAAGCACTAATATGCCTTGGTAGAAGAAGCTTACACATCTTTGAATTCCCCTTACGAGTGACAGATATCACCGGTACAGCATCCAAACACTGTCTATATCTGTGTCCTAGTCTGCTCCTTAACTATAAACACTAGAAAGGCAAGGACTGTTTCATATCTAACCCAGGTGTCTTCTACAGTGCCCAACATCATGGTCTGAGAAAGAGTAAGTATTTAACAAATGTTGATTGGATTAAATTAATAGAACATGCCTTAGCCTCCAATGGGAGAAACACATGGGATTCTGGGAGAAATTCAATTCCATCTTTGAAAATAGTTTTTGTTACTCTCAAGTATGTCCTTGGAATACCTAACCTCGCCTCTGTAGGAATGTAGCTGGGCTTTCAGTCCTTCTCTCCACATCCTTTCTCTTGACAACTTCATCTAGGCCTATGGGCTCATCTATCATCATTAGACAAGTGACTCTCATATCTATTTCTCCAGTTCTCACTTCTTGTTTGGTTCTCAGATAAACATCTTCATTTGTCTACAGGATATCTTCTGAAGGCCTTATCCCCACCCCCTCTTAAATTCAACAAGTCCGAATATAAGCTATTTTTCTCCCTATCCCCAAATTTATTCCTCATTCCAAATCCACAATTCCAATCCACAGTCACCTAGTCTCCTGCATTTTAAAAATACTGTTTTGTGTCTATTTCCCCCCTCTTCACTCTCTTTTCTAAACAGTCTCTCTAAACTTCTCAGTCCTGGGGTTGGGGAGGTCCGGCCTCCTACTTGCCCTAGGGATCTTTTGGTAATGTTTCATGGCCAGGTAGTAGAGGACATGAGATTCCTAAGTAAAAATTGCATCTCCCCCTCCATTACCAAGCAGTGTTAAAGTACTGAATTAAAATTTGAACCGGACACTATTCAAATGTGAACAGAATGTTAGGATCATAAACCCACAATGGACATGAAAGAAAAGCTAGTCTTCCAGTCTCATTTTACATATGAGAACACTAAGACCCAGGGAGGTAAAATGTCTGAGGTTAAGTAAGCATTGAGAGGGTAACTAAGCAATGAGGCAGGATTTGAACTCATGTGCTCCAATTCCTAAGCCAGTACATTTCCCATTGCACCAAGGAATATGCTTAGAGGCCAGAGACACTATTTTATGTAGATAAAGTAGAATCATCAAAGATCGTAGCTGACAGTGACCTTAGGGAGTCTCTTGGCCAATCTCTTCATCTAACTGATGGGTTTTTTGAAGAATCTATTTTCCCTACATAAAATCAATCAATCAAAGGAGCATCCCTGGATCATAGGCTTCCTTTCTGCAGATATACAATTACCAAAAAAACATGTCTCCTGATGCAAAATCTTGTATTGTTTCTTAATGATAAGGATGATGGTAATAATAATGATGATAACCAACTTTTATAATAATAATAGCTAACATTTATATAATGCTTATTATATGCCAGTCAGTGTGCTAAGTACTTAACAATTACTATCTCATTTGAGCATCACAACAACACTGAAAGGTAAGTAATGTTATTATCTCCATTTTAAAGACAAGGAGATTGAAGCAAATAGAGGTTAAGTGACCTGCCCAAGGTCACATAGCCAGTGTCTGAGGCTAGATTTGAACTAATCTTCCTGACTCGAAGTCCAGCATTACTTAACTGCCTCTCTTCTATAATAGAGATGATTGCATTTGTGGAATTATTTGGGAGTCTATAAAAACCATTCTACTCTTCCCTTCCCTGAATATCTCATTACCAATTTGCCCCAAGATCTGAAATCCCACCATTAGAGATTCATTGCTTTTGGTTGAGGCACAGCATTTCTAAAAGTCCTCTGTTCAAATTCAAATGCCCCTGGAACACTCATATCTGAAACCAGTATCACCTATTCTACCATACTAGAAAAGATTCACTCATCAGACTAGCCATTACTTTACATGGCCCTGAGCACATAGGATATAATACCAGGAGATGTTCATGAAGTATGGTGGGATGGGAAAGATCTTAAAGCAAGAGACTCTGGCCTATATGGAGGCGGATAGGCAGTACTGTAGGGGATGGAGCTTTGTGTAGCAAGGTGTCAGCAAAACATTACTGGGGAAGACAGTAGGGCAAAGGAAAAGGAAATAGAGGTGTGGAATAAAAGGCCATTAAAGTAGATTTCAGAGGAAGTGCCATGCTGTCCACAAAGCAGCTACTGAATAAAAACTGGCCAAATGAAGAATTGGAGCAATACATCTTGTTAAGGATCAGAATGTTTTGAGCTTGAAGGACAGATTGTTTAACTTTTGTATAGACTCCCCAGAACCCCAGTCTTACAAGAGACACCGAAAAGGAATGGAGCTCTTTGTCTTGTCTGCTCACATGGCTGCACTCATACTAGGACAAATGAGTAATGAGATGTTGGTTCAGAAGAAACAAGGTAGTGAACAAAGCCTGAGGAGGAGACATGATGTTTTTCAGGTTAGATGGATGGGTGGATATTGATTTATGTAGGTGGGATAGATAACAGACAGATAGATGGAATAGGCTAAGATACATGTATGCAAAGATATGTATATATAAATTATATGGAGCAAGATTGTATATGGAGATACATAAAGAGAAATACATTAATCAATAGCAAAAGAGAGAGAATAGATAAAGATACTCTGGAGATAGAAGTTTATGAATTTAGATAGAGAGATGATAGATAATAAATAGAAAGATAGATGATATAAAGATAGGTGGATAGAATGATAGATACGTAGGTAATAGAGACAATATTTAACATATCTGTAAATATATATATATATATAGAAATGTTATGGAGTAAGATTATACAGATAGAGAGATACATAAAGATAATTTACATTTACATTGATATAATACATTGATCAAAGCTAAAGAAATAGAGACTAGATAAAGACATTCTGTAGAGAAAGAATAGATTTATAAAGAGAGGAAGAAAGATGAAAATAGATGGTAAATAAAAAGAGATGATAGAAAAATTGATAGATGGTGGATAGAGAAATAGATAAGCTTTAGAATGATTTAGATTCAAATCTATAGACTGAGATAGAAATACTGACTCTCAAGATATGAGATAAGATTCCTATTGATCACCTGTTTGCCTTAATAGTACCACCTTCACCATTCCCTCAGTGCCATGACCTGTTTCTCTCTTGTCAAGGAGGGAGAGGTGGGGAGATTTGCTGCTTAAAGGCCTAACCTACTTCCAAGGAGTAACTCAGGATAACAGGAGGAAAAAGATATATTAGTTTTCAGTGAATACTTGCAAACACTTGGAAAATCCCATTTTCAGGATTAAATGCAGCCATAATAACTGTGCTTTGAATAGACCAGGGATGAGCCCAGTGCTGTTGAAAGATGACTGGCTCTGGTTTTAAATTGTGAACTGAATTTGCCCTTCACAATCTGTGTGACCTTGGGCAGGTTACTTACATCTCTTGATATTCATTCTCTCATATGTCGAATGAGGGAGATAGATAAAATGGCCCCTAAACTCTAAACCTTTCATTTCTAAATCTATGACACTAGGGCCTTAATGGCAAGAAAAGCCAAGCTATGGAAGTATGGAAAAGGTGTCTTTAGGGTCCTCCCAGGATCCCTCTCCTTTGTTACTACCATCCTTTCCTGTAATCTTGCCTAGCAAATTCCTAGTACCCTTATACTGCCAAGGATTCCCTCTCCTAGCCTGTCTATCTAAGGTATCATCTTCTGTACCCATCAAAGCACAGTCTTAGCTATCAGCCACAATAGAAAGGTTCTGAAAAATCTAATTATTACTCAGGCATTAATACTTGGTAACTACTTTTTGTGGCCTAATACTTTTCACTGAATCAGAATCTTAATAAGTCACAAACTTATGATTATAGATTTAGAGCTAGAAGGGACTTCAGAGAAAATCTAGTCCAATGTCTTCATTTTATTAATAAGGAAATGAGATCAGAGAGAATAAGTGACTCACTCAAAGAGAGAATAAGTGACTCACTCAAAGCTACAAGAGTGGTAAATTTCAGAGGCAGTATTTGAACCCTGGTCCTCAGCCCAAATGCAATGCTATTTCTATGTGAGCACTAGATTTGGAATCATGGGACTATGGATCGATGATAGATGCCTCCTATTCCTTTCCTCTCATTCTCCTTAACTATCTATAGTGTGGATTTTCAAACTCGTCACTCAACCAAAGCTGCTGTCTCCAAAGTTTTAATCTTTTAATTACCAAATCAAATGGTCTTTCCTTAATCCTCGTCCTTCTTTACTTCTCTATGGACTTTGACAATGTAAATCATTCTCTTCTCTCTAGGCTTTCATGACATTGATCTCTCCAGGTTCTACTCTTATCTGGCTGATCTTTCGCAAACTCCTTTGCTGAATCTTTATCTAGATCACCCCTGACAGCCATGAGGTCCTCCATGTCTCTGTTCTGGATTCTCTGCTCATCTCCCATTGTGCTTTTTCACTTAGTGATCTCATCAGATTCCATGATTACAATCATCATCTCTAAGCTGAAGATTCTCAAATCTATTTATTTTTCCCTAACCTCTCTGTTCCCCTCCATTCTTACATCTCCAGCTGCCTATTAGACATTTTAAACTGGATGTCTTATAGGCATCATACACTAAACATCTAGGAAACAACACTATCTCTCCCCTCTAAACCTTCCTCTCTTCCTAACTTCTCTATTAATGCCAAAGGTACCACCATCCTCCCATTCACCCAAGTTAACACCTTATCTTTCATCTTCAACTCCTTCTCTCTCACCCCCAATATCCAATCTATTGCCAAGACCTATTCATTGCACCTTTTTAACATCTCTCATATACTCCATCTTTTCCATTACAACACTGCTTCCACCCTATTGAATGTTCTTATCACCTCATGCCTGAATTACCACAATAGGCTGTGGGTTTATCTCCTTCCCAAAATCTTTTTCCCACTCTAATACATCCTCCACTCAGTTGTCAAAGTGAAGTTACTAAAGGGTAGGACAAATCATGTCAGCCCATTTTCAGCTAATCAATAAACTTCAGTGGCTCCCTATCACCTCCAAGATCAAATATAAAATCCTCTATTTGGTGTTCAAATTTGTTGACCCCTTTCTATCTTCCCACTCCTAGATCTTAAAGCCCATAAAATACTCTGAAATTCAGTGACGTTGGCTTCTTGGGTGTTCCTTGAACAAAATAATCCATCTCCCAACTCCTAGAATTTTCGTTGTCTGTCCTTCATGCCCAGCATTCACTTTTTACCCCTCTCTATCTCCTGGCTTCCTTCAAATTCCTGCCCCCCAAAAAATCCTCTAATGAAAGCTAATCACCAGTTCCCCTTAATTTTAATGCCTTTCCTCTTTTGATTGTCTCCTATTTATCCTGTTTATAGGCTGTTTGCGTATAATTGTTTGCATGTTGTCTTCTCTATTAGGTTACAAGCTCCTTGAGAGCAGGGATTGTCTTTTGCATTTTTTTCCCTATACTCAATGGTTAGCGTAATGTCTGGCATGTAGGACTTAATGAGTGGTTATTGATGGTCTGACCAACATGGGCTGAAATCTCACTTTTCACTGTACAATGCAGTTGAAAGGCACTGGCTTTTCCCAATCTAACATAGGAATTAGTATTTAAAACAAGCTAATATGAAAATGTTTGGGGAAGAAAGGTATGGGAGCCTTCCAAGAACACCAATCCCTCTTGGGACATTCTTCCTGTATCTACTTAAAAGACAGTCTATGATCACAAATAGCAATCCTGGCACTCGGAACAAACAATGATAATGACACCTTCAAATCATTTTTCCAAATTCATACATAATACATTGGAGTAGGAAGGCAGTCCCCACATTGGCCTTTATTAGGGGAAATAGAAACCTCAGGACAACATAAGTCCACTTCTGAGGAGGCCACTCACAATAAGGGGAATGTGGATAGAGAAGGGGAAATGAACAAGGACACCATCTGCTAGCTTCCTCATTTAATTATCCCTGCTAACTGGGTGTTAATCTCAATTATTTATATATTATGTAAGGAGTAAAAATGCTGTCAAAATATTACCAATTAAAATTTCACAATTTCTAAAAATAAATATTTATACATTTTGCACTTTCTAAATGTCAATGCCCCAGGTAAATCCCTGTTTGCCCTTCCCTAGTTATAATGTCTGAAGTCTAAAGACATACTTTGCTGACTTTCTTTTCAGCTATATACTAGGTATGAATTGTGTATGAATGAATATGTGTGGCGTTATGAGTCTTTTCACATATTATGAGAATCTGAATGTGTTTGCACTGCACCTACATCTCGAGTAATCAGTAAGCCAGATTCAATGGAATTCATTTGTTGTAACCCAATTGTTTGGCCTCAAAATGACCTGTGATCTGAAGGCTGGCTCCTTCAGTGTTTCTGGCAAGAAATCATCATCATAAGACAGTCTAGCAATCAGATTTATCCATTGCTGAAATTTTATTAGATTCATGGAGGTAAATCGCCATCATTACTGTTAGTAGGAGTTGTGGGCCAGCTCCCCTTGCGCTCACTGTAGGAAAGCTCAAATCCATCTTTCTTCTGTGAGGCAGCTGTGTTGAAAATGTAAATGTTCTGCCTGCTGTGATTATTAGTACAGCTGGCCCAAGTCAGTTTGTTTGGAAGATGCTGACCTAAGAAAATAAGCTCAGCAGAACCCTGGCCGAACTAGCTGAATATATTTTTTCCCCTGTTAGTAGCACCAAGGGCCTTTTGAGGAAGCAATCTGGAAGTTGTCCTATTGGTCTTTGACCTCCAAACGTGTGTCCCAAAACATATTCTGCAGGCATTTAAAAGTCATTTTGTGGATGTTCCAATCTAAAAATGTAAGGAAACCTTTTCTGATTTTGTTTGTATTTTTAATGTCTAATATTTTTGAGAGTAGGGGCTTCACAAGAATACTGATGGAGACATAGCCCTACTGGTTTACTTAGAAAGACCTGAAATTAATAGGACCCAGGGATTTGGAAGGTTTCCTGAATCCAGGTACTTTATGTAGTCTGGTCTCCAGTAACATTTATGCTGTAGTAGAGAAAACTTTACTTCTTGAGTAATCCTAATCTTAACAGACAGAAAGATGGTTGAGTGAAGACGATGACTTCAATGTGTGAATGATGTATTAGGAATCTACTATGGGGCAAGGCAATGTGGTGGGGGCTGAATGCTTTCTTAAGATCTATGAAGATTAATCTGGTACTGGCTAAGAAATAGAATGGTGTATCCGTGGAACATATTAGGTATATAATACATAGTATTAATTGGCCACATTAAGCTAGTGTTTGATAATCTCAAACATCCAAACTTAGAGGGCAAAAATTCACTATTTGACAAAACCCTCTGGAAAAACTGGCAAACAGTGTGTCAGAAACTTGGCTGTAGAACATCATATACTGTATATATCAAGATAAGGTCAAAATGGGTACATGATGTAGACATAAAGGATGATCTCGTAGAAGGTTTTATCTGTCAGATCTATGGATAAGGGAAGAGTTTATGACCAAACAAGAGATAGACAAGATCACAGGAGATAAAATAGATAATTTTGATTAAATTAAGTTAAAAAGGTTTTGCCCAAACAAAACAAATAAAGCCAGGATTAGAAGGAAGGTAGAAAATTGGGTAAAAATTATAGCAAGTTTTTTGATAAAAGATTCATTTCTCAAATATATAAGGAACTGAAACAGTTTATTAAAAAAAAAACAGATGAGGTATCCCTCAATTGATAAATGGCCTAAGAATATGAAGAGGCAGTTTTCAGAAGAAGAAATCAAAACCATCTATTGTCATATAAAAATGCTCTCAATCACTATTGATTAGAGAAATGCAAATTAAAACAACTCTGAGGTACACCTCACACCTATCAGATTGGTTAACATGGTAGAAAAGGAAAATGATAAACATTGAAGGGGATGTGGAAAATTGGAACACTTTAGATTTAGGTTAATTATTGTTGGTGAAATTTTGAACTGTTAGAGTCATTCTGGAGAACAATTTGGAACTATGCCCAAAGGGCTATAAAACTATGCATAACCTTTGACCCAGCAATACCAATACTAGGTCTCTATCCTAGAGAGAGTAAAGAAAAAAGGGACCTATGTGAACAAAAATATTTATAGAAACCCTTTTTTTTGTACATGTGGTGACAAAGAATTGGAAACTGAAGAGATGTCCATCAATTGAAGAATCTCAACAAACTGTGGTACATGATTGTGGTAGAATACTATTATACTATAAGAAATGATGAAGGAGATGGTTTCAGGAAAAAACTGGGAAGATTTATATGAATTGATACAAAGTGAAGTGAGCAGAATCAGGGCAACATTGCACACAGCAGCACCAATATTGTAATGAACGTTAGCTGTGAAAGACTTAGCTACTCGAAGTAATATCATGATCTAATTCTAAAGGACTTGTGATGTTCTTTACCTCCAGAGAGAGAACTGATGAAGTATGAGTGAAGATTGGACTGGGGAGAGTTTTGAAGCAAGGAAGCTATTGCAATAATTCAGTTGAAAGGTGATAGGGCCCATATTAGGATGATGGCTATGTGAATGGAGAGAAATAGATGCATACAAGAAATGTTTTGAAAGTAGAAATAAGATTTGACAACAGATTGGATGTGTAGGGTGAGGGCTGGTGAGAAATTGAGGGTGATGTGTGGTAGATACTTAATGTTGGATTGAATTGAATAGCCAAGAGGGCTGGTGGGCCGGGTGCTCAATTGAGAACAGTAGGAAGACGAGAGGTTGCATAATGAAGCTGGTCTTCCCAACATCAGCTCGCATAGCTCATTTTGTGAGAACAACCCTCACCATTCTTGCCTTACTTGGGAATGATAGTGATGACTGCAGAAATTCTTTACCGAGTGACTATGAACTTGTTTCTATCAACATTTTGATAACTATATTTTGATATAATTGGTTTTGTTTGTAATCATACGTATTTTATTTTAAGCATTTAAAAACCTGTACCTGAAAAGTCACTTCTTCTCTCTTGTCTTGCTTTTCCTAATGATATCTGATCTATCCTTCAAGGCCTCACTCCAGTGCTGTCTCTTCTATAAAGCCTCCCTTGAAGGTTCTAGTCAGAATTAGGAATGAGTTCTCCTTTCTCTGACCCCCTTAACATGGCCTTTGACTCTTCTGTATGCATTCATCTAATCTAGTTTATAATAGTTGCCTGGACCTGACTTTCCTCCTCCACTACATTGTAAACTGGTTAATGGAAGATACAACATTTTATTTATGTTTGCTACCTATTCAGTGCTGTGTACTGTACATTCCATGACAATTCATAAATGTTTACTAGATACACTGATTAGTGACTTCAAATTTGAGGTCTAGATTGAAAAATCAATCAATATTTAAGTTAACTTTGACTCTTGCCTTAGCTATTTCAGAG